CAGGGGGCGGCGGGATTGGGGCCAGCTCGGCGCAGCAAGCACCAGGTTGAGGACGGCTCCTCCCCCGCCAGCCGCCCACCCTGCGCCGCGGGGGCCGGCTCTGCCCACGGGGTCCCGGGGTGCCGGCGCTGCCGGGCCCCCTAACACTCAAGCACTTTCTCCCCCTTCCGCAGCACCGGCCCCGAGGGTCCCCGAGGGTCCCCGGCACTCCTCACCCCCGGGCCAGGCGGGTTGGGGGTCCCCAGCACCAGGAGCGGGGTCCTGGGGAGGTTGGGGGGGCACCCACCACCGCGTCCCCCATGTCCCCGTGAGGCCAGTCGAACTGTGACGTGTTTTATACCAGTGAGAATAAAGGTTATTTTTTCAGAGCTCCCGCCTCACCTCTCTAAAGGAAAAGCTGGGGCGCTGGGGGGGGGTCCGTCCTCGCAGCCCCCCGCTGCCGGCGGGCACATGGCTGGCAGCATCACCGTGTCCCCGCGGTGCCCCGGGTCCTGCACAAAGGCCTCTCTGTGCACCCTGGGCACCACGTGCAGCTCAGCCACACGGCCGCTGGCAAATCCTAGCGGGATTAGCGGGAGGGATTAAGGGCCCGGATTTGGGGGGGCCAGGGCCAGGCCAGCTGCTATAAAAGGCGAGGGGCCGGGGAGTGGGGCCGCGGCTGCACCATGGCTCCCAAGACGGTGCTGATCACCGGCTGCTGCTGCGGCATCGGGCTGGCGCTGGCCGTCCGGCTGGCACGGGACAAGCAGCGCCGCTTCCGAGGTGAGCAGGGTGGGGGGACCCCCTGTTCCTGGGGGAGACCCTGCGCGGAGCTGAGCCGCCTCTGCCCCCAGTCATCGCCACCATGAGGAACGTGGGCAGGAGTGGGGCGCTGGCGGCGGCGGCGGGGCCGGCGCTGGGCCGGACGCTGGAGATCAAGCAGCTGGACGTCTGCGACGAGGGCTCCATCCGCACCTGCCTCGACAGCATCCCTGGGCGCCACGTTGACGTCCTGGGTGAGCCCCGGGAGCCCCTTCCCACCGCATCCCCATGGTGCCCTGTGCCAGGGAGCCCCGTGCTGGGGACCCTCCCTGCTGGGGACACCCCGTGCACCGGGGGCACCCTGCATCAGGGACCCTTTGTGCACCAGGGCACCCCGTGCAGTGGGGACTGTCTATGCCAAGCATGTCCCATGCTGGGGACCCTCCATGCTGGGGACACCCCATGCACCGGGGACACCCCATGCACCGGGGACCCTCCACGCCCGGGACATCCTGCACCAGGAACCCTCTGTGCACTGGGGACACCCCGTGTACCAGGGACCCTCCACACCCAGGGCATCCCATGCTGGACACCCACCATGCACCAGGGACCCTCTGTGCACCGGGGACCCTCTGAGCACGGGGCACGGCACCCCCCCCTGCACAGGGGATGCCCCGCTGATGCCCCATGTCCGCAGTCAGCAACGCCGGGGTGGGCATGGCGGGTCCCCTGGAGTGCCAGAGCCTGGCGGCCATGCAGAGCCTCATGGACACCAACTTCTTCGGCCTCGTCCGCCTGGTCAAGGAGGTGCTGCCTGACATGAAGCGGCGCCGTGGGGGCCACATCGTTGTCATCAGCAGCATCATGGGCCTGCAGGGTAGGGGGGGACAGGGTGCCCTGGCGGGACCAGCCCC